AATTCAAAAAGCCCGAATGGGGTACAGAAGGCAGTAGGCTTCCGGCTCTTAGCCGTCAGGGGGATTTGGTAATATGCTGAGTTAAAGTTGAGCACCGAAAACACTTCCGCATTGTGAAAATCAGCGAAGGCGTGCTCGACCATCGGCATAGGGAAGGCGTCGAAAACTACCTTTCTGTTTAACAGGCGATAGTTTACTACCATCCTATAATCACCGTGGGGTTTGGGCACTATAAACGCCGGGCTAACGTATTGAGAGGAGCTCTTCCTTATCTTCCTGCTGTTATCCAGCAGGTCTTGGACTATCCCCCTTAATATTTTCAAACGGGGAGGCGAACACTGGTACAGCCGCGACTGCACCGGAACGTTATCCGTCAACTCCAGGTGACACACCGTGCCCTTAGCAGTGCCTAGTTTATCTGAAAAGAGGGCAGGAAAGCTCCGCATCAACTCGTTAATTTTGGAGGAGTTATGCGGCACGCAGGAACACGCGAAACTACTGACCACATTTTTGGCACAAGGAAACACTTGTGAGGGACTCCTGCAAGAATCTAGTGATTTGAATTCGAATTCTTTTTCCAGACAAAAAGCGAAACTATATGTCCCGGTTGCGAAGTTCATTCGCACCTGGGTCCGCCCCAGAATGTCGACTCCCAGAACGCAAGGGACCGGACACTGTTCAAAAACCAAGAATATAACCTTCCAAAAAAGGTCGTGTAATTTGACCGTCAGAATGACTGCTTCCTTACTATTACAGTGTTCTCCATTAGCCGCCTGGCAACGTTCCCCTGTCGTTTCCAGTTTGTAAGGCAATCCTAAGTTATAAATTTCGTCTAGGACGTTCCGTCTTACAAAGGAGACGGTCGACCTGGAATCAAGCATGGCCGGTAAGGAGAACCCTTTAATATTCAGAAGGGCCCACGGATTACTGTGGCACCCCGCCATCCAATACGGACCTCTCTGAGACCGAGCTAACCCTGGCGCTCGGGGTTGACTCACTACTCCCGAGCGCCTAGGGCGTTTCCCGACAAGACAGGATTGCGATTCATCTGTCCCTGGGGGCAGTTGCACCGGAAGTGTCCATCCTTGCCACATCTCCAGCACCTCACTCTACTATGGACCTCGCCCTGCACGGATCCAGTCACTACCATGCTATTGGGAATAGTTCCAGAAGCCTCCCCAGACCGCGAAGTCGCGCCCAGCGACTTACGCTGTTTTCAACAGCCATCCCTTCGGCCACAGTCGTCGCGNGAAAGGTGTCAACTATCTCGGAGTGAACCATCCCCCAATCGCGAGTAGAATTTAGATGGGCCCCCAAGATTGAAGTTGTTCTGCCTGACATCCTAGCGACCAAGAGAGAAATCAACTCGAAGTCAGTCACTAAGTGTAAGTCGTAAACTCCCTTCACCGCCATTAAAAATTTTAAAACATTTTCCGGATCGGTGTCCGCCAAGAAGGGGACGTTTTTCATGGCATCCACTGCCAGTTTGATCTTCATTTTGCTCGCGTATGAACTGTCCTGACTCAAAAGTTCAGAGCCCGAGGACTCGGTTTTAGATACTAAGGGAGACTTGGCTGCCGTGCTTGAAGTAGGCAGGAAAGGCTCGATGGCGGTCCACTTCTCCTTCACACGCTTCCTCAAGTCGTCCAGAGCCCCACCAGCCTCCAGCCCCAGTTGACTGGCCAATTCTTCCAACTGTTGCTTGGACATAGTGTGAAGCCAGGCCAGTGGCATGGTTGCAGGCATAGAACACAACACAACAAGAGTAATAATAATAGTACAGTAAACCAGAACTAGGGACACACCGTTAAACCATGCTCTGCTACCATTTGTTGCGCTGACCCTCCCCTCTTTACCTTTCCTCCTGCCAAGGGGGAGACGCCACTTCCGTCTCCTAGTTCTAGCTGTTGCATTCTTAATACATCCCGAGATATTAAGGGATGTCTAAGCAGTATTTACAGTGGCCCCCTAAAACTTCCAAGTAACAAAATTTAATAGGACAAATACAATAGAATACAGTACAATACATTGGACTGTCCAGATCAACTATTGCGACCTTGGAACACTCACGTCGCGCAATATTTGTGAACACACCCACTTAGGGGGTCGGAGCTAGAGCACTCCAGTTTAGCTACTACTCCTCTCTAGCAAACAAGTAATAGAATACAAGAAAATACAGACCCAATATTGCGACCTTGAAACAGTCACGTCGCGTAATATTAGTGAACACACCCACTTACGGGGTCGGAGCTAGAGCACTCCAGTTTAGCTACTCCTCCTCTCTAGCAAACAAATAATAGAATACAATATAATACAAGAAAATACAGACCCAATATTGTGACCTTGCAACAGTCATGTCGCGTAATATTAGTGAACACACCCACTTAGGGGGTTGGAGCTAGAGCACTCCAGTTTAGCTACTACTCCTCTCTAGCAAACAAATAATAGAATACAATATAATACAAGAAAAATACAGATCCAATATTGCCAAGCAAAAATGTAAATATAGCCCCCAGAAAACGCCAATGTGGCATTCCTTGTCCCGAACCTTCACAGAAACACTCCAAAACCGAATTTTGACTGGCCACGCCCAAAAGGAATTTTTTTTTGTTACCTGCCTTCCCCAGCTTCTTGTCCTAGAGTTCCTCTCTCTCTACCTTACTTGTCTCCAAAAAAAAAAAAACAAAAAAAAAACAACCATTTTATGGGAGGGGGGGATCACGTGATAGGCCAGAACGGAAGAACTTTCTAGAGACAAGAAGAAAAATAGGGGGGCTAGGAAGAGAAACTGCTGAACGGAGCCAAAGTAGAACACATGGCTCACTGTGTAAGGGACAAGGCAAGGACAGTGTTATACAAGTAGCCTGGAAAGGACGGACGTTTGGAAGGAGACGTTGGACACACCAGGAAAGCATCACTGGAATAAGGAACCAAGGCTCAAGACAACAACTACATCTGTGGAGGGAGAGGATGAAACAGGAGACAGGAGCTATGTCTGGGAAGCCAGAAGTCATTATATGAGACCCTCAGACAAACTCTTGAGTTGGAGATTGTGAAGTGAGCAGTCAGGACTTCCATTAGACTGCGGATAGTGAGCGTCAGGACATTGTGGAGGTTGACACCTTCCAAAACAAAAGAAGAGCCTGCTAGCAGCTTTAGAATAGGAGCCATAGATGTAAGAGCATTGACCACTCTCGGAACTTTTGACCGCACCAACTGGAAGAGGTTGATGTTGATACACCTGGACCGCCTTGCATCTTATCAAGGAGACACGTGGGATGAGAGGCCTTAAGGGTGGAGCAGTGGGAGCAGTTGGAGTGTAAACACTGTGCAAACTGAGCCAAGAGGAGGAAGGTGAGACTGGTCACAGACATCACAAGCAAAACCCTTTGAAGAGAAATGGCAAGATAGCCTTAAGGAGGTAGCAATGTGGCATATAGACCAGCTGCTAAGCAGTGACTCTCTAAACAGTGACCACTGCTAGGTAATATCTGCAACATGCACACAACAGTATAAGAAAGGTGTTTTCTATGTGGTCCACTGCTGTTGCTATGCAGTGGTCCTGTAAACACGCATCTACAACAACTGAGGGCCATGCTTACTGTGTGGTCTGTATTGAGGAGTTATCTTGAAGACAGTTGGTGCTACAGTTCATTTGAGAGTTCATTTGTATAGTGTTAACCCATTAACAGTAAGAACATGAGCGTGGGAAGCTGAAGAATCTCAACTATTAGAAGCCGTTGCTGAAGACACAGCAGGCTGGAAAAAGGCTTAACAGGTGCTGTGATGATTTATAATATGTGTAGAGTAGTAATAGCCCTATAATTACTTGTAATTCCGAGTGGTGTGTACAAGTGGTCAATAAATCCATTTACCAGTTCATACTCCTTCTTTAGTCACAAACAACCCTAAAATGTGATAGTACAAAATATTTGATTTTTAAACAATTCATGCTTATCTTTGATACAGAAATCTCCTTTCTACTGATTATTATATTAAAAGAAACTGACACTCTTTCTGTTGGCTATAGCATGAGGCCTGATGTTCAGAAGGTTAAACAATTTTTTTTACTGTAGGTTTATTATGATAGAAATTCCCAAGTTCTTTCTGAGAGTTTTATAGTACATGGAATCTTCTCCATCTGTCAGGCTGTTGGGAAAAAGTAAAAGTATTGACATTCTTTTCTCAGATGTCATACGTACACGATGTAAAGATATTTCAACCCTTTAAGGCCTGAAGTACATTGAAATAATATTTAAAAATATATGGGTGTGAAACTTAGTCTCTGACATTAAAGCAGGAACATACTAGACTGATAGTGTTTGAGAACAGGGTGCTAAGGAGAATATTTGGACCAGGAGAAATTAAGTAATAGGAGGTTGGAGAAAATTGCATAATGAGGAGCTACATAACTTGGGATGAGCAGGGCAGGATACTGATAGGAAAGCCAGAAGGAAAGAGACCATTAGGAAGACCAAGATGTAGTTTGGTGGATACTATTAAAATTGATCTTAGAGAAATAGGATGGGATTATATGGATTTGATTGATCTGGCTCAGAATAGGGAACAATGGATGGCTCTTGTGAACATGGTAATAAACATTCAGTTTCCCTTAAGTGTTTGTAAGCTCTTGAGTAGCTGAACAACTGGTGGTTTCTCAAGAGGGGCTCAGCTCCATGAAGTCAATTAGTTTTGTTCCTACCATGCAGAAAACATACCATCTCTGCATTACCAAAACTAACCATTTAACTCTGTATAGAGAAGTAATTGTTCTGAGAATTATACAAAATATGCAAATGCATTCTGTTGGTAAAATGCCGTGTTCTTCAGTGTTGATACATTTAGTAAGCTTTAAAGGGTTAAATAGAGGTTACAGAAGTGATGACTGCAATTCTAGAACATTTAAATGTGTTTGTATGTTTATTTTAAAAATGTATTTCAGAGAATTCAGTTGTAAATCTTACTAATTCCAGTATTCATTGTGAAATCTCTCTCTTCAGTTGCAGATGCTTGTAAACGATGCTGTCGCATGAACCTGAATGACACATGTTTCCCTGTTGATCCTCAAGACATTCTGCCTGATGGAACTCCCTGTATTCAGGGCTTCTGCAATAAGGTACTGCTACAGGCAGAAAATAACAACTACAGATTATTGTAGTATAGTAGTTAGCATTCCGGCTTCACATTTGAGAGATTTGTGGTTTTGAATATCAGCTCCTGGTCTTTCTATGCCTTTTCTCAGATACTGCAAACAAATTCTGGGACTGCAGGCTGTGCGTGCTTCCTTCCATGACTTTTTCAACTTATCATTCATAATTAACCTGTCATTCATTTACATATAAGGTGATAAGCAAGAAAGAAACTTGAATTGTCTTTGATTGTGGAATGAGGAATGCTAACACATTCAGTCCACTACTGATGGTTATATAAGGGGCACTCAAATGAAAATGGGTCACCACGCATAATTCTCATGGTACGCAAGTTGGCAACACTGGAATTTGCTTACAGTATGAACATCTGGTGGGGACTCGGGAACAGTGACAACATGCCCTAGCACACTGGTCATTTGTTTATTGTGCTGGAAGTAAGGTTAGCGCTACAGTAAAGTTTAGTGTGCTTTTTGACTGCTGAAGGAGTAGAAGGACGAGAAATTCATTGTCACATGTCTGTTGTTTACGGTGAACACAGCATGTCACGTTCGCACATGCTCGTGTGGCATTAGAGGTTCTGAGAGGGATGTGTATCTGTGCAAGATGATGCTCCCAGGACGGGCTCATCGTGTCATCACTCCTGATGTTATTTCTGTGTTGGATGGTCATATCCGGGCAAACCAACGGATCACTATGGAAGAAATTAGTCTTTTGATGGGAATAAATCATGGTGACAAAACACCTGCTGTACTGCAAAATCTGCACGCAGTGGGTTCCACATCAACTCATGGAGGAACAGAAGACTCAGAGAATGGCTGCATCACTGGGTCACTTGCAACGATACCATGAGGAAGAGTATGCTTTTCTGTCCCATATTGCCACTGGGGACGAAACTTGGTGACACCATTTTGAACCCGAGAGCAAACGGCAGAGCCAACAGTGGACACTCATGAATTCTCCCCCACCGAAGAAATCCAAAGCCGTACACACAAGTTCCAGTAAAGTGATGATGACATTCTTCTTCAACTGCAAGGGCCCTCTGCTTGTCGAATTTCTCGAGCATGGGGCCACAATCAGTGGACAGCGCTATGAAGACACTTTGCAGAAACTGAGACATGCCATAAAGTCGAAACGCCCTGGAATGCTATTGAACAGCATTATCCTTCTTCATTATAATGCGTGCCCCCACACTGCCAACTGTGAGTAATGCGCTACAGAGATTTGGTTGGGAAGTGCTTCAACATCCCCCCTACAGCCCACATCTCTCCCCATGTGATTTTCACATTTTTGGAGACCTGAAGAGAGACATTTGTGGACATCGGTTTGCATCGGATGAAGACGTGTGTGGCTGGGTAAAGATGTGGTTCCGTAGACAGCCCACAAGCTTTTTCAAGGATGGGATTGACCATCTTATCTCATAGTGGGATAAATGTATTATCAGTTTTAGAGATTACTGTTGAGGTAAGAAATGTTCTTTAATATGTTTTGGCTTCTGACCTGTTTTCATTTGACTGCCCTCATATAATGCCACATGTTAGTGACTAGACACAGGGTTTGGATTGGTAATTGGGTTTATTCAACACTTATGAATTGTAACTATAAGTGATCATAACACTCTCAGTAATTCGCACACACTACTTCTCACTACAGCATGCACTAAATCTTCTCAGTTTGCTGTGTCTTCACCAGTCTTTGCCTACTAACGGATTCCAACAATGTCCTCTGCTTCCATGCTTACATCCTTACCAGCTGGTGACTGTTTCACAACTAAATCATTGCCCTGACTGTCGGCTTATGTCACTGGTCCTTGTTATAGAGCCTGGGGTTGAACCACATAGAAAACACCATTTCCAGCTGTCTTTGATTATTGTGTGCATATCCATTGTCATGATAATAAGTTTATCCAGCCACTGCCTAGTAACAGACCACATAATCATGTCACTATATATACTGTATATATATGGTGATGGAGGAAAACTCATGTTTTTGTATAAACCATGATTACTTTGATGTCTACCAGACTCCTCCTCCTCCTCACCATAAAATCTGACCAAGTCCTGCTCACTCTGGTTTCAATCAAACCATTAGAATAGGAAAGCTTTAGCATGTGGGAACATGACAAGTCAATTTCATATATATCTTATGAGCTTATAATCTGTGTAGGTTATAACCAACCTTTTACAGCGATAAAACTGAAAGCTTATGGGTCACAGCACTGTTGTTGGTAAGTAACCAGCTTTCAGTCTTGTAGAAAAGAAGCCTCTACTACATTTCTGGCATAAGTATGCAGTTGTAGTTGAGTCCCCTTGGAAAACTTATTATAGCTCTCTAAGTTTATATTTCAGATAAGTTAGACTGTTCCTTCATGTGTTATTGCCCTGTCTTAGAGATTATCCACACTTATAATATTGCACTGTAATCATTATGCTTCCTCAGTTACATAGATATTATAGCACTGAATGAGAGGAAGACAGTGAATGATGAATTGAGAGAGATGTGGAAGGAGGAAGTCATCTTCAGTTTTAAGGTATTATTGTAGTATATGTTTGAAGAAATGAGGAAAGCTGTTTTACCCTCAGAAAAACCAGCCTCTGAATCAATAACTGAGCTTGTGACCTCAGAGATATGAAGTAAGAGTTGTAGTGGCTTAACTGTAATGTTTGGTTTCGTGTGGTACATTCTTTGCTGTAGAGAAATGGGTTAGTTTACTGTTAGTTTAAATCTTGATTTGGACTGTGTGAAGTGTTGACATTCACATGAAAGCAGTGAGTTGGTTATGAACCCAGAAAACAATTGATTGGTCATCCAGTCAAACAATGCCATTACACTGTGTTGCAGGGTATGTGTGAGAAAACAATCCAAGATGTGGTGGAGAGATTCTGGGATATTATAGAAGACATCAATATCAACAAAGTTCTAGTTTTTCTACGGGACAATATTGTTGGTACAGTGATCCTTGTGACAGCCATCATTTGGATTCCAGCCAGTTGTGTAGTGAGTTATGTGGACCGAAGGAGAAGAAATGCTCAAGAAGCAAGTGACAAATGGAGGAACAGCAATCAGTTCTATAGGGATGATAATCGACGTGTAATAAACATAAACATTTCACGGCAAAGACCTCCCACTGCAGCACACCTCCATACAACAGGACCCTTGTAATTTTAGGTTAATTTACGGTGGCACTGTGAATATTATGTAAGGATTAGTTCATATCTGACTTCTATAGTACTTCTTTGCAGTGCATCAATTAATGTTCTGTGTTGAAAATTTATCTTCCACACATTGTACAACTGTCATTGCCCATGCGCTGGTTCATCAAGCCCATACAGTTCTAACATTGCATTCTTTGCCATATAAATCCAATTATTGCCAAGTTTAAATCCAATCACCAGCACTCTGTAATAGCAGGAGCTTTATATGCTGACATTGAAGATTAGCGATGGGTTTTAATAGATATTCTGTATCTGTTGACAGTAAGTTTTCTGAACAACACAGCTGTGAAGTGAACTTACACATTGCGGCTCTTCCAAACTTGACGGGAGCTCTGTGGGGCTCAGCTCAGCAAGCGCTCATAAAGAAGCCCACTGCATATATGAGTATGCTTTCTGCATTACACCCTCTTAGGACATCCAGATATTTTCAGACTTGAGAATGTCTTCAGAAAAAGTATCTTGGTTTCTTCCATTTTGAGCCTACTTTAGGCATGCATTAGTTACTAGGATTTGTAACATCACTGCCTCAGAATTTGACTTGAAGCTTTGCTCTTATTACTTTCATAAAATTCTTTCCTCTCACTTATTAATAATTCTAGGTTTTTTTCTTGAAGATAAAACATGTTTAGAAGGTATATTAAATAACACTGGTTTCTCATCTGTGTGCCCTTAACAGTATAAGAACAATTGGATGGATGAAGAGATATGCACATGCATGTGTATGCATACACACACCCACATGCACAGACCAAAAATTAATAGATGTGTAATATTGCCATAATTACATACTGTATTTGCCAAAATGTAATCCAGTTTTTCCCATAAAGTAAGGCAGTACAGTGTACAGTTAGATGTACCAGGTTTCCCTGATGCATTTCAGAGTACAAGTTACTTGTAAAATTTATAATGTAGTTATTTTCCTTGCTTTAGAATCTGAAGCTCTTAAAATGCCATCAGGTTCAGCAATTTGTTCATAATTTAACTATATTTATATGAGAATTCTTCAATTTAAATATGATTAAACACTATATTATATTTAAGCATCCTGTTACACTCTATACGATATATGATATAAATTCCATCCTAAGTGCAACAGTTTATTGTAGGTCGTTCGTTTTGTCTTCTTCTACACTACATGTTTCGGCCGCAAACGGCCATCATCAGGTGTATACACTCACGTAAATTTTAAAATTTGAAAAAAATTTTAAAGGAGTTTTCTAAAATTGGAACTGAAGATTTTAAAAGTGCCAGTTCATGAATATCAAAATTGACGTGTGTGGGTGACAAAGAAGATGTACCAATCAGACAAATATCAACGAAGTAGATCCTGCTAGCCAATTGGGAAGACCTGCGTGTTTTTAAATTTTAAACTGGGTGCAGTATAACAGCTACGTGAGTGTATACACCTGATGATGGCTGTTTGCCGCCGAAACATGTAGTTTAGAAGAAGGCAAAACGAAACACCCACAATAAATTGTTGCACTTAGGACATAATTTATGTCATATATGATTAAACACATTCAAACAATCTGTTTGCTTCTATGCACTTATGGACTATGCACTTAGTCTCTTTGTATAAATCTTCAAGTGTGTTAGCAAAATGTCAGGGTGTAGAAGTAAGCATGTTGTGTTAAGTATTCGACAGAAACTTGAAATTATCAATCAGTTGGGAAGAAACTGTTGCCTTTCATCACTAATGAAGATGATGAAATCCATGGATTCACTGGATTCAGTGAAAATGATATAGCTATAGAATTGACAAAATTGGCTAACCAAGTTCATGGTGGTGAAGAAGTCAACGAGGAAAATATAAGAGAGTGGTTTGACTTTGACTCGTGTGAGCCAGGCTTCGAAATGTTAAGCAGTGACGAAATCGTAAGTTCAGTGGGGGTGCAGCCAGAAAAGCGGGAAGAAAGTGAGAATGAGGAAAAGGTGGACAGTGCTTCTAATAAGGAAATATCACATGGTGCTGCTTTTAATCATTTGGAATCCTTACTAGACTATCTTGAGAGTGAAGAGAACAGTTTATTAAGTGACAAGCTAATATTAGTTAGGCTTCTTACAGATATCCGTAAAAAGGAAAATACCGTGAAAAAGCAAACGACAATATTAAACTTTTTTAGTGTTAGGTGTGAATATTCGTAAAAAGTGTTGGATGTTGTTGAACACTGATGGAAATGACTAATTCATACTTCAGTGTAATGTAAAAAAGTATTAAATAGGCCATGAGATGATATAAAAATGAGGTTGAATAAATTTAAATACAGGTAGGCCTATAGTATTATGAAGGTACAGTATTACAGTACTACTTTTAATCAATCGTGATTTCCAACCCCACCATCATCCCGGATAATCGAGAGTTGAGTGTAATTGCCTTATAAAAACAGGAAGATTATTAAACACCCTGACACCTATATAATAAACTCCCTTGAGATATAGTGACCGATGGGCTGAAGGTTGATAAAGATTAAAATTATAACCCTGTCTTGTATTTCAGTTGTGTATATCAGATACAAATTGATATGAATCCATGTTATTAACCATAAAAGACAGTAAAGAATAGATACATTGGGATTGAAGAGGGAGAATACCCAAGGTTATGAACAATTGCATACAAGAATCTCTACTACCGATACCCATCATTATTCTGAGTGCCTTCTTCTGCACACGGAACAGTATTTTTATACTGGATGTAATCCACAAATTCTTGATATTATATGACTTAGCAGATGATCTGGGGAAACTGGCATAAACATAACGTAAGAATATGTTTAAAAAGGATTTAAATATGATATTCACATCATTTCCTTCAAAAACCGCACTCCATATCTCAAAGCTGAGTTTATAATTAAAACTGGCTAATGAGAATTTGTCACTGTTTCTTGTTTTGCAGTAGCTTTTGGAAGAAGAGGGTAACATAATATCATGAATAAGGATAGATTGCGCGTCATGATCAGATAAACTGTTAGAAATAGGAGTTACTTTGAAAGCCCCTCACCTTGAGTGTCAATAGCAGACTTGGACAGGTTTTGTATTCTGATAGGGAAGTCAACAGTGCTAAAAAGATTATAAGAATTTAATAAAGAATTGAGTTGACTTTTACTAGAATTATCGGTGAAAAAAATTTATGGTAAAATCACCACATACAATAAATTCTATTTTTGATCTTGTCCATCTTCTGGATAAAATTGGTAAAATTACCCGAAGGAGTCCTGTAGACTGCTAATATATAAATAACCGATAAGTTAGATTGGATTTTGATTGAACATAGTTCAGTGTCGAAGTCAGAGTAATCAGCTTCATTATTTAGGGTAATAAAATTTATAACTATCAATAACAATACTATTCAATTCTATAGAATTTAGATGGTGCTCAGTTAGGCAGATGATGTGTGGGAGATCAGGATATAAAGAGCATAAAATTTCATTGGTTTTATCTCTCAGTCCACATATATTCTGATGGAAAATTTTTAAGGAATGATGGATTGTATATGAATTACTACTTTTATTTAATACAGCAGACTGTGGTAGATCTAAATGAATAGGGTTATAAATAACAGTAGCTGAGTTTAGATCTCCCATAAAAAGTCATTTGTTTTTGTCACAGGTTCCTTTCTAATATGTTTAACTAATGTATTTTCAGCATTTTCAACAAAGATAGGTGGAAAGGGTTGATTTTCAGAAGAACTTATTATTCGAGGTTGAGTTTCATGAAGCCAAGTTCTATAGTATTAGTACTAGGATTTTTTTTTATTAGAGAAGATTACTTCAATGCTAAACGGAATGATAACATTTCTTTACCCAGACTATTCAGATGTCCGTATTTGGTACACAAGTGCCTTGTGGGGTTTTCATGTTCAGTTGTTACTTCAATGAAAACCCACTTCTTCGGAACAGTTTGTAGGTCCTCATAAGGACCGTTGGTTGCTGAGATGCTTGGCCAGTGAAGTAGCGCAGCGCGAGCCGGTAGGAGGGGATGTTGGTTGCGGTGTGTTGAGGGGGCTGAGTCAGTTGACTGGCTGCAGTGCGGCCGTTACTGGAGGTTGCTTGGTTGCTGGAAAAGGGTTTGCATGCCGAGCGCGATCGCAGGAGTGGAGAGGCGGTAGCTACGCCAGTTGCCCGGTGTGTTGGGCATGACTACCGGCGAATCGAGGCGGCCGTGTTGACTGGTGAGTCGGGGGTGTGACCGCTGGACAACCAAGGCAGTCATGCCTGGCGCAGTGAAATGCCGATGCCTCCAAAGACCGAGCGCTGGCGATGAAGCGTGCTGTTTTGTAGACTGCTGATTGTAGACTGATCGTTGACTGATGACTTGCAAAGTCAAAGTTAAAGTCATGTTACAACTGATGGTCAGTCAGTCTGTCTGTCTTGGTGTTGAGCCCAGCTGGGGCTCATGACCAGATGTTTTCTTCTTTGTGAAAGTTGCTGTCCTGTCCATTTCGGGCACCCTCTCTGACGAGAGGTTGGGTCTGTCATTTTGATGACTTGCAAGCTTGTGCTCCGCCTTTTATACAATGCGTGATGGCGGAGCGAAAATTTCCTGAGCGCTAGTTGGCTAGCGCGCGTAATGATGTGGCTACGGGCTAGCAGAAAGCGCTGTATAAATGCGAAGTAACATAGAGTTCGTCGAGTGATTAGGTTAACGTTGAGATCGATTGAAAAATAATCGATTAAGGGCTCCTCACAGAGCGATCAGTGTGAGGAGATTGGTTGCGTACGTCTGGAGTGAGATTCAGAGTGTACGTTGTTGATCCATCCATCCATCCATCGAAGTTATGAGATCAGAGAGATTGTCTGCTTGACGATTCGTCTGGACTCGGTTGTTGAAAATTTTGCCCAGGTGGTGGAAGTTTGGCAGGAGTGAGATTAGTTCGAGAGACGCTTAGGGAAGGAGTTTTTGAGTGGTCTCACGTGACCATTATCTTGAGTGTGTTCGTCTGCAGCCACCTAGTTGACTATTCTGCCACCAGTGCATAGTGCGTGGTTAGTGCATCGGAGGCCGTGGCCGTCCCGTCTGCAACGGATGAAATGACGGAGCCGACATCTGGTGAAACGCGGTGGAATGCAATCGTGGCTTCCTTTGACACGAACCACGTAAAATTAAGAAACAGTAATCCTGACTGCCAGGAAGATATCGACTTACTGGGGAAAGGATTGCAAACTATAGGGCAGCTTATCCGTACATCACCCTCAATAAACGGAAACGGCGCAGTATGGAATAAGGCCGAGAGGACAGTGCTCTGTAAGCACCGCGATGGCAAGGCGCTCTTTACGGCCATGCTGCGCCTCTATGCTGCCATCCACAGTGAGATGCGAGAGTCTCTCATGCTAGAAGAAAAAGATTCAGCCGAGGAATTTCACGAGCAAAGGAGACGGAAGCGAAACTCCTCAGGAGAACAAACTAAAAAACCGAAGCCATCACCTAGCCCCAGGGATCCTATAATAAAATTCAAGAATGAAGTAGAAACAAAGAACTGTTTGCGCCCCTGAGGACGTCAGGGATGGACGTGAAAGAGTCAACCAACAAGTCGGGAGAGCAGCAACCATCGGACAAGCCAGGTAGGCCGCCTCCAATTGTACTAACCTCCACGACAAACCATGCAGTTGCAGAGGAAGGTCAAAGAACTAGTCACGGACAATTTTGAGTTCCGCAACACCAGGAGCGGGACCAGAATTGTCACGAAGGAAATGGCGGACTTCTGAGCCATCAAAAATTTCCTAGAAAGTACCAATCTATCGTACTATACATTCCTTCCTAAGTCTGAGAAACCAATCAAAGCAGTTATCCGTCACCTTGCACACAACACTCCAGCGGAAGATATCTCTGATGGTCTGGTGAGCCTGGGGTTTGACGTCATTAGCGTCAAACAAATGACCAGTCGTCGGACTCCTCCAGAAGGAACAGATAACATTTACCTTCCCTTGTTCCTTATTACACTTCCTAGAACAGAGAAGTCCCAAGAAGTCTTCCGACTGACCAACCTCTGCCACATTGCCATCAAGGTAGAGGCGTACAGAGCACAGAGCGGGCTCACACAATGCTACAACTGCCAGCAGTTCGGCCACGTTTGGGCTAACTGCAAACAGCCCCCACGTTGTTTGTGTTGCGGAGGTGGCCACTTACACAAGCAGTGCCCAGAGAAGGAGAACTCTGCCTCCACCCCAGTATGCTGCAATTGCCGGTTGACGGAGGGAGAAAAGCCTCATCCCCTTTCATCCTTGTCACCTCTTATTATTGGCGTAGAGTGGGCGTGCAGGGTCTGACCCGCCTCTACCTATCGTCTGTCATCTCTATGGTGGGAAATACCCCCTTACATATTGTCATAGCTCCCTCCTGGCAACTTTTCATATAATCTGCAGGTAGCAACATATAACTCCTCCTATCGGATGATACTGCTAACCTCTCGGTCCCTGTTTGAATTCTGCTGAATTATCCTATATGGGGCTCAAACGTTGGTAACGCCACTGTTACCCTCATTACGTCTTAAGGGGGGCGTTGATATCAAGGCTACTAAACGCTGCCTGCGTGGCAAGTGACCCTACTATCCCAGTTCATTTCTGATCCGTCACCCTTTTCTGTCGCTGCCTTTGGCTGCTGCTGCTGCTGCCTGTGTCAGTTCTGTCCTCTCTTGGGCCAGGATTGCTCGGGATTGGTAGTGGAAAGGTGATTATGGAGGGGTGAATCACAATCCCGGTACATCCTACTCTAACTACCCTGTCTATTTACACTCTTATTTACAATATTTACAATATTAACAAGGCCGACTTTCAGTCGGGACTACTTTGTGTCTTTACTTCATGCTACGATTCCTCATGTTCTCCCCTTCTGGGGTGTAAGCATTGAGCCTCTCTCTCTCTCTCTCTGTTTCGACTAATGAGGATATGCAATTATTCAGCGTTCAACGTGAACGTTTTTCCTGTCTCCATTTCCTACTACTCAATACATACTACTACACTATCCTATCGTAAATTTTCACCCTTAAAATAATTTACCCCTAGTTATACGTTTTGAAAGCCCACATACTATATTTATCACAAAAATCATTAGTCGTAACTATAACGCAAATGTGCGTGGTCTACACACTACTAGTAATCCTAACACATACACTATAACGACAGCCATATTGCCGGACTAGCATCCTAGGCAATTACTTGTTACACGATTTCTATTATTCTCCCCTAAGAGCTAGCCGGGCACACTGGAGTTTGCTTTCAACATTTTACCACAACACTTTTATCAACAATAATATTTAACAACATGGCTTAGATGAGTAAACGTGACTTACTTCGCATAAGAGACGCAGGCCAACTTCCACCACTCGTAAGACCCATATTGAATAGAGCCTCCGGCTGACAACTGAATATTATGTTTGAGATCAGATCCCTAAGTGTCCTGAATTCAGTAATTTATATCTTTAACTTGCTGACTCTGCGGTTGACGAAAGAGGGAGGTTAACTCCTCCTTTCGTCCTCAATCTCCGGTTGGGGGTCTCCATTGGCTAACTTTCGGCTGTGGGTGGGCCCGTGGTCCTCTTTGCTGCTTATTTAATAATATTATCTTTACTCCAGAGTCCCTGGAACGCGACTTGCAGAAGTGCTATTGCGCATTCTGCTAACTCAGGCATTCTTAACCTAGATTGCCTGTCCAGGTGTTGACATACTAATGTAATTGCTGTAAAACGTTTGTCGCAAGTCTTGGAACATTTAAGCAATGCCTTTTTGACTTCTAGTCTCAAATTGCGCCGCAACAAAGAACTTAGGCTGGAGTAAGGGGAAGTGGAAGGTTGAATAATCCCTTCGTCGAGCATAAGACGAATATGCTGACGCAATATCTCCGTTTTTGGGAACATGAGCCGGTAGGGAGGAATCTTGACAGGGGATGGATCAAGCAACTCGATGTCATATTGCAAGAGTGTAGTGATCCCCAATCTTGGGGTTAAGACGTCAGGAAAGTTGTCGATGAGGGAGCACAGGAGGGTACAGTAATTGTCCTTCAAATGAGACAGATCCGGGTTAGTCGGCGTGGCCGCGCACACCCACGACTTATCGTCGGGAGAACATCGCCCCAGTAAATGCAACCTGTTAGTAGGATCGAATGTAAGAAACGCATGCCCCTCCTGAACATCAATTATAAAACCCGTCTTCCCTAAAAAAAATCAGAACCCAAAACGACGGGCTTAATCAAACCGGGAACTACAAAAATTGGACTTTTCATGTATAACGATCAATCCTGATCTTACACTTGACTGCAGTATGAACTGGGCAAGTCTGAGCAGACGCGGTGACACACTTCACTCTCACAGGACAGGTGTGCAGAGAAGGGGTTATAGGCAACGTCGGACATCAAAAAACGAACAGCCTCAGAGTCTAAGAGAGCACAAACGGGTCCAAAAGCTAGCTCCACCTGAATACAGGGCAAGCTGTATTTAGAACACCCTGTATTAGTTAATTATGCAAGTTGGAGATACTGTGACTGAAAAATGGTGGAACTTCGAGGTGAGCGATTCCAAGGAGGAGGGGCTGGGTTACCTGCTAGCCAAAGAGTATTTGATTGAAGTGGAGCACGCTCAGTAACTGAGGTGGGTAACTGGACAAAAAAAGTCCTTCCGAGTGTGACCGGGTTTATTGCAACGATAACTGACGTACCTTGAACGGGCCGAAATAGGCGCAGCGGACACGTGCCGATCGGAAGATGAGGTCGGGTTCGATGGAGTCTCCGTTTCGGAGGTATGACTCCAGTCATTACGCAGAATATTGTCTGCATATATGCACATTTTATGTAATTCTGCAAAGGTTGTCGGGGTATCGCAGAACGCTAGGCGATTCCGCTCCAGAGGATGGAGTCCGTCAAGAATATTCCTGACTAACACAGCCTAACAGCGGCCATTTCCTTGATGTCCGTTATGTATATGGATAGGGAGTCATTGGCCCTCTGTGCTCTCAAATACTCTGAATTTAGTAACGGCAACATGGAGCGTTGGGGAATAAGAAAGAAAGTATGCTCTCGTATGCGTGGAGCGTATCTCCGCGGCCTATGGCTTCGATAGTCTTGGATGCCAGTGCACCTTTAGCGAAAATATAAAATACCTGCAGCAAGTGACCCGGGGAACTTGGAAAACCATCAGTCTCTCGCGAATCCGCACTAAAACGGGCAATAATTTTATGAGATTGCCCAGATGCAACTCATCTGTGGGGGAAATGCCCTCAAACATGCGCTGCACGGATTAGGCAGCTTGGCGAAAGCAAAGGTGGGATTAACCATAACCGGCTGGTAAAGGGGACTCCTGGGGCAAGTAAATTGGTCTACATTGGTTCACCGTCACTCTGACTCGAGCCGTCAACAAGCCTACTGGTGGGGTTCAAAGGCTCCTTATCCACACGTCCAGGAAAGTGAAAAGTCGCTTCGAGCCTACCTTGATCGTCTTGAGGTGTGTTAGTTCTTCAGATGGGCCAGGGCCCGGTGCCGCACGCTCGTCGCGCTGGAGACTGATGTTGACATCGGCTAAGAGGCCGTCCAATTGTTCATGCAGTGTTTGGGCAGAAACCTCGAACTCTGGAACACTTCCCCCAAATTGCAGGAGATATCGGAGACGAGTAGCAAGGTGGACGAGTCGATGTAGATAGCAAGGGAAATCAAGGGTAATGCGGGAGCTGTCGGTGTTCTCCACCAGTTCCCTGATCTGGAGCAGTTGCTCTCAATACAAGGAAATGGTGGCTGCTGGATCCTTCAGACATTTCATACAGCTCAGGAGCTCGACGTTTTCCTCCACATTCCGGGAGGTCCTGAGTAGTGATCTGAGTGCGGCGACATTCAACCGTTCCGTCGAAATCCCCCGAGCTGCCAGCTCATATTGCAGCTCGTCCTTGTGTAGGTACTCGGGCAATAGAGGCTCAGACGTCATGATCAACACCAAACAGAATAAAAACAGTCAAAACGTCCCAACAAGCAAACCAAAGCACAAATACCCAAACACGCTCTGCTACCACTGTTTGGAATGTACCAAGGCCCAGGACCTAAAAGTGATTTGGGGTAAAAAAAAATTTAAACAATACACACACCAAATAAATATAATAATGTAATTGGTCGAGTGAAGGAACAATACAGGCTGCTCCAGATGAGAACGAAACTGCGTAAAACGGTGCACCAACTCCGCCGTTAACTTAGCAAACCTAAAAATGTTCAAGAGATAATTTGGAACGGGACGAGGACCACACCCTTCCACGGCGTGCAGCAGAATCCCCCTCCGCTTTTCAGCCAACCCTACTAGTCCCTGGTGAAAGGGTGAAGGGCGCAGGCGTAGGGCAGGAGGAGAGAGGGAAACGGACTGAAAAAGACTCCCTAGTTAAGGGACATGGGAGTAGTTTCTGACGTTAGTGAATGAAATCTATAAGACCTTAAACAGCAAAACTTAATAGGAGGCATTTTTTTGACCTCGAAACGGACTTCGATTGTGTTAATCATGAGGTTCTGTTGTCGAAATTGGAGTACTATGGGATAACAGCTAAGGCTAAACTATGGTTTGAATCGTATTTCAGAAATAGATATCAAAGTGTTTTAATTACAAACATAAAACTTAATCTCAATGTATTTTTACATGGGGAAAAATTAGACATGGTGTCCCGCAAGGTTCGATTCTGGGCCCATTGTTATTTCTCATTTTTATAAACGATTTACCCAAAACTATAAATGATAAAACTGTACCTATATTATTTGCAGACGATACTACTTTCTTGGTTAAAAGTCCAAACTATGATGATCTCTGTGTATATATAAACAATGCTTTTCACAGTAAAAATGAATGGTTTAAAGTAAACAAACTTTTAATAAATTTTAACAAAACCGACTACATTCAATTTACAGCTAGAAATAATAATAATAATAATAAATCTATGTAAATAAAAATGTATATGTTCGTTTGTTCAAAATCATAATTCCCCGAAAGTTCTTCACCGATTGCTTTGAAATTTTGATACAACGTTGCATTCGAATACCCGCGTGTTTTCATATACCTATTATATAGATGTCACACCTGTGACAGGTAAAAACATGCTTCTTTTGAAAAACAGCGCCATCTGTTGGACGTAAAAGCAACACACGCCCTACTAATATATTTTACGATTCCATTTCAGTGTTTCCGATTGCACTGTTAGATTGGATTTTCATAGATTTCGATTTATTTTCATTTAGATTTAATTATTTCGTGTGACATTGCGTTATTGAGCTATGTCGTTTATCATAGCGTTCATTTCGTTAGTACAGTTAAATTTTTTCTTCTTTCATTTTATTCATTTTGTTTTCTTAACTGTTTTCCTTATTTTTCAGTGCAATTGGCGGTGGAATTGAGCTGTGTCGATTGATCTGCGTTTGAATTGAAATATTTCGTTAGTATTTTTTTGTTTCTTCTTTGTTTTCCAGTTCGTGTTCTTTCCTTTTTATTGTTTTGCAATTTTATATGTTTTTGTTATAACTTTCTTTCTTCTTCAGTGCAATCGATCTGCTTTAGTTCATCCAAATAATGCTCGCAGAACATCGAACTAAGGTTGTCGTACTCGCGCAGCGGAAGCAGTGCGACGAGTAATTGCAAATGAAACTGGGGAAGACCGGGCATCAGCGAACGAGCGAAACAGGCAAAGAATGGCTCAAATACGCGCTGAGGAAGCAGCAGAGCGACGTGCAGCCAAATTTGAGGATGCTTGGTTGCGAGCACGGCGATAGCGTTCTGCAGTTTCAGATCTGCTTCGTTCTCAACAGAATGAACGCGACAGGCTGAGATTGGCTAAAAGACGTCAACGAGAAACAGCAGATCAGCGTCAAACACGACTCCGTGCTCAGCAATCACGCGATTACAATCGCCTTGCATTCCGGTACCGCCCAGCTGAAGATTACAGTTTGAGCCGGTATGTTCTCATCGGCACTATGACTGAAGTGTGACCGTATTGCAAGGCTCTGAAATTTAATGGAGAAATGAAAGGAATGTGTTGCGCCGCGGGAGAAATTAAACTGCCTCAATTTGGAGAACCGCATAGTCATTAAAAATTTTTGCTTGCCGGGTTTACCGCCGAATCAAAGCATTTCCTATCTAACATCAAGAAATATAACTCATGCTTCCAAATAACGTCGTTCGGCGCAGAAATTGTAACAGCTCAATTCATGCCAACTTTCAAAGCGAAGGGACAAATTTGTCATAAAGCCGGCTCCCTGCTTCCGTTTCCAGATGGTCAACATAAATTCCTACAAATGTATTTCATCGGCAATGGCAATGATGAATTGAATGCACGCTGCGGAATTTCTACCGGCATAAAAAGGTCCATCGTTTCCCAACTGCAAGAGCTTCTTCACGAAAAAAACGATTTAGTGCGTTTGTTCAAAACAGCAATTGACATGATGCCATCTCATACACGCAAGATTGTTATTCATGGTGAGAAAACGCCTGCTGGACAACATGTGCAAAGATTCAATGCTCCAACTATAGACGAAGTGGCAATTGTTATAGTCGGAGATCAGTTCCAACCTGGAGATACTGTTCTTCATCGGAGAAACGATCAATTGACAAAGGTTGCAGAAACTCATCGATGCTACGATGCCCTGTAACATCCAATCATTTTTTGGGATGGTGCCGATGGATATCACTTCAACGTTAAGATGATAAATCCAGTCAGTGGCGAAGAAACAAATATGAAATGCAGCGCAATGAAATATTATTCATACCGATTAATGATTCGAGAGAATGATGACAATCACATTTTGAAATGCCGTCAATTGTTTCACCAATACATCGTAGATATGTATGCAAATATCGAAACAGAACGTTTGATATTCATCCGTTTGAATCAGACCAAACTTCGCTCTGAAGAATACGTTCATTTGCGAGATGCAGTTGTAAATGACGGTAATACAACTAACGTTGGAATACTAACCATTTTGCCATCTTCATATACAGGCAGTCCACGTCATATGCATGAGTACGCTCAAGATGCAATTGCGTATGTTCGTCGCTACGGGCGTCCAGACCTATTCATTACATTCACATGCAATCCACTTTGGGACGATATACAACAGCTCTTACTTCCTGGGCAATGTCCGGTGGATAGGCAAAAAGGCATTTACAATCAAATAATGCAAATTGTCAATAACGGGGTTGCAGAAATCTCCTTCTTAGATGCGCCAGGAGGAACTGGTGAAACGTTCCTATTTATATTGTTTCTGGCAGCAATTCAATCCCAAAATGACATAACCTTAGCTCTTGCGTCTTCCGGAATAGCTGCGACATTGCTACCAGGTGCAAGAACTGCTCATTCCGCTTTGAAATTGCCATTGAACATGTAATTCATTGAAACTCCCACGTGCAACATTTCCAAAGCAACTGGCATGGGAATGGTATTACAGAATGCAAACTTATTGTTTGGGATGAATGCACAATGGCGCACACAAAATCGCTCTAGGTTCTTCATTGATCATTGCAAGATTTGCGTTGAAACATTGGACCATTTGGGAATAGCATTAATAAAGCTTGCAGGAGATTTCAGGCAAACATGACCTGTAATTCCTCCATCGACACCAGTGCATGAAATAAATGCGACACGTAAAGACGTTAAAATTAACTACAAATATGCGTGTAGAGCTACAAAACGATCGATGAGCTGAGATATTCTCACATCAATTGCTGGAAATTGGGAACGAAAAGGTGCCGGTTGATCTGACCTCAGAACGAATTTCATTGCCTCATAACTTCTGCAATTTAGTGACGTCAAAAGAAGAATTGGTTGAAGAAGTATTTCCCAATATTCAAACCAATTATAAGAATCACGATTGGCTGAGTGAACGAGCTATTCTTGTGGCCAAGAGCAAATATGTCTACGAACTTAACAATATCATTCAGTGTAACATTCAATGCGAGGCAGTCACATACAAGTCCGTCGACACTGTTCTGGAAGCAGATGAAGCGGTTAATTATCCAACAGAATTTTTGAATTCATTCGATCTGCCAGGGATGCCACCGCACGTACTGCAATTGAAAATAGGTGTGACAATTATCATGTTCCGAAATATCAACCAGCCAAAGCTTTGCAACGGCACGCTGCATGCAGTAAAAAAATTATTAATCAACGTCGTAGAAGCAACAATCTTGACAGGACCTTTCAAAGGTGAAGATGTCCTCATTCCTCGCATTCCCATTATTCCAACGGATGTGCCTGTGGTAACATCCAGAGTCGGAGTCAGAGTTACGTTGCAAATGACGGTCAGTCAGTCTGTCTGTCTTGTTGTCGATCCACAGCTGGGGCTCATGACCAGATATTTCTTTTGAATGAAAGTTACACTCTTGTCTATGTGTAGCGCCCTCCCTGACGAGAGTTTTGGTCTCTTATTTGTCAGTCAGCCTGTATTAATAAGTCCAATGTGTGTATTTACATATATTTACATATACACACTTATTTCTTATTTCATTGTACAATATATACAAGGCCTCAGTTAGTCCGGGCAAGGATCAGCAGATTATGACCATTTTTATATATCTTTTTCCTAGTATTATTAGCTACCACGGCAGTCTAGTCACTTGAACGGTCGTATGTCTGACCGCCGCCAAGTTTAAGCCTCTTACACTTTCTATGGTGGGCTTCGCTTTGTCCGATGTTGCGAACATTCTCATTCTCATGATTTTGTATGACTTCTGCTTGTTGCCTGCATACTTTTGTTATATAGTAATATACATACGGGATTTTGAATGCCGCGTGCAAATCGCGGACCGGTGTGCGCCTTGGAAAACTGCCAATCTTGCGGAGAACCTTGTTTTTAAGTCATTACGGATCTAATAAGAATTTTATGGAGTGTTAGTTTAATGTTAGCGCTCAATCGCTTACTTTTGGATAGGGAATATACTCTAATGAATGTTCTGAAGGCCTTTGCTTCGAACATTTCTATGTGTAATCTCCATGTCACTCTCTTATCGAAGATTACACCTAGATATTTTGCACTATTTACAAATGGAATATTTCTTCCATTTAGAGTAAGACAAGACTCAGGCGGCCGACGACCAGGAGAGAAGTAGACCCCCCGAGTCTTATCTTCATTAATTTTTATATTCCAGCACTCATACCAGGTCTCCATTGAGCTGAGACCGCGCTGGAGTTTTCTAACAATAAAATCCTTCTTGCGATCTATGGCAATAGACAGGTGTCGTTCGCAAAGAGGGCCAGGTGAACACCATGTGTTTGGGGGGCATCATTAATATACAAGTTGAAAAGAGTAGGAGAAAGGACAGAACTTTGTGGCACCCCTGCTTGCATTTCCCTTGGCGTTGACATTTCGCCTTCAACTGAGACCATGAATTTACGTTTAGANCGGTTTAGGTAAAGTTATTATTTTTGCTTCCTTCCAAGTATTTTGAAAGTGAGATAGCCGAAAACAGTGATTGAATAAGTGAGTTAGGTGAACCAATGATCGCCTTGGAAGGTGCCTGAGGCATTCTTTTTGGATGCCGTCAATTCCACATGCCTTTTTTAATTTCAGGGAATTTATTAATTTCTGAACGTCACATGGTCTAATCCTTAGAGGGGGGTTTTCATCCACGGCTTCCAGCAGAGCTTGAACTCTAGCCTCCACCTGCTCTACCTGGTTTTCGTCGCACAGGTCATGTGTCGTGAACTGAATTTCCAAAGAGTCGGCAATTCCGTTGGCTTTTCAAAAGGATAAGATTTAAGGCCAGAAGAACCGTGAATAGCAGTTGGTGCCCTTGGACCGTCTCTCTGAAGGAGAGATTTCGCAATGGGCCAAATACACTGAGGTGTGACTTCATCGTTACTCTTTTTTGTTTCCCACCGTTCAAGTTCCTCTTTTCGGCACATTCGCCTGATTGGTTTGGTGACCAAATTCACTGCCGTTTTACACGCTGGATCCCTGGCTTCTTGCCGCAGTTTTCGTAGCCTTAGTTTATATTTTATCAAATGACCTAGACCAGGGAGATCGCTGTTTATGTCCGACAGTGTAATTTTACTTGTCGACAGCCTATATGCCGAAGCAATAGAGACTGCAAAGTAGCGTGCCGCTTTATCGGCTTCTACTCCCGAATTGATTTCTAATGTAGGTGATATTAATTCAGAAGTGAGGCTTTGAACCCGATCCGAATCTGTAAATTTTTTAATGATTTCCGAAATATTCCTAATTTTAACGTGATCCAGTATGTGGAATACTATTGCTAGGTGATCTGAGTCCAAAATATCAGAGACGACGACATCTGACGTTCTACTATTTTTGTGAACCACAAAGTCTAATACGTCACCATTTCCCGCAGGGGAATAATGAATGGGGCACTGTTGTGCTGAGATTTCGAAATCGCCAGTATCAAATGAATCCATGAGATTCAAGCCTGAGGGGTTTGAAACTCTGCTATTCGAAAAGGGGATCTTAGCATTCAAATCACCTGCCAAAATAGACTTTCATCTGAAGCTAAGAGCTCAGTAATGTCAGCATCACTCCAGGTTCTGCCTGGAGATTTATAAACAGCTGCAAGCAGCACTTCGCTATTACCAACTGGTATGCAGACCCCTGTCGCTTCTACTGAAACAAGGGGTGGTAGCTCTACATGGTTGTGGGGAATGCCTTTCTTACTGCAGTTCCGCCTTTTCTGCCCGAGTGGCGGTCGATTCTATAGAAGTGGTAATTTGGAATAAAGAACCTCTCATGAGGTTTCAGATGTGTCTCTGAATTCAAAGCCACATCTACGTGTAGGTCTTTCAGCTGTTTAGTGAGCTCATAGCGCTGCCTCCCAATGCCATTCGCATTAAATGCTATGACTTTGAGGGGCCTATGAACTCTAGTGGCCATTCTCTTTCATAAGGTTTAGAACAATTTTGGTAATGGCCATTATTTTGTTCTCCTCGGACACTGCACCACTGACCTCTGTCATAATCTGCTGTACTACAGTCACTACTCTCAACATATTGTCGAGAGATGGACTTTTTACATGAGTAGCCTGAGTTGATTGACCTGTTTTTTGTTCCTGTACAAGGACCGAGACACTCGGTTTCGTGGCTTCTTGTGGGACTGCCACTGGAACTTGGACAGTCTGAGGTCGCTGCTCCTGCGATGTGCTGCCATGGCGCGCCACAGTGAAGGAGACTCCAGGGGTAACGATATTTGAGGAGAACACCCTTCACATCGTAGTTTTGGGTGCTCTCTGCGATTTCCTCCTCTGCAGTTCCTCCCTCGCGTGTCTGCAGTCCCAATAGTTGGCGGGATGGGGCTTCCTCTCCTTCCTTCAATTCGCAATTGCAGCAAGCTGGAGTGGAGGCAGCGTTCTCCATCTCAGGACACTTTTTGTGCAGGTGGCCACCTCCGCAACACATGCAACGGGGAGGTTGATTGCAATTGGCCCAGACGTGGACATACTGTTTGCAGTTGTGACATTGCGTAAGGCCACTCTGTTCTCTGTATGCCTCCACCCGAATGGAAATATGGCAAAGGCTTTGAAGATGGAAAATTTCTTGTGATTTTGCCGTCCGGGGTAGGGTGATAAGGAAGAGCGGATGGTTTCTTGCTATCCTTTCGTCTGAAGGCGACCCGCGGGTGGTTGTCATCTGTTTCACGCTGACCACATCAAATCCTAGCGTCACCAATCCATCAGATATATCCTCCGCAGGGGTATTGTGATGGAGGTGACGGATTACGGCCTTTATGGGTTTTAGGGACTTGGAAAGAAGGTAAAATAGGAAAGTTTGTTGTTGGATAGATGGGACTTGACGGCTACGAAATCCGCCATGCTTTTGGTGAGGACTCTGGTCCCGTTTTGGTACTGCGGAACTCAAAGTCGCATTTGACCACAATTTTCAGTTGCTTCTGCAATTGAATGAGGTTCACTATGGAAGTGAGAATTATTGAGGGGGGGGCTGCCTGCTTTACCTGAGGTTTCCTCCTCCAGCGTAGTGGCTTCTGCACCAGAAGTTTCTGTTTCCATCGTTGCATCCCTGAGGGGGGCGAAGTAGTTTTTGGTGGCAACCTCTGTTTTGGGATTCCTTTTGAAGGCTGCCGTTGTTTTCTTAGGAGTCGGTGCGGATTCAGCGGTCCTTTGTCGTTTCCTCCTCCGGACTTCTTTGAAGCCTTCCTCCCGGGCTGGATTAATTGTGCCTGATGCGCTTGCCTTTACTAGGGACTTCAGCTCGTCCAGCGCAACTGTATAATTTCCATAGAGGGCACTGAACAGCGTCTTGCCGGAGAGGGCCTTGCAGTAATTAATCATATTTTCGTCGGCGGCGCTGACTATTGCCGCCCATTCTGCACTTTCTCCAATCGCAGCAGTTGTGAAGCCGACCACGTCCTCAATGCTGCACAGGATGTCGAATAAGCACCTGTATTGTGTTTCGGCATCGGGGTATTGCTTAATAATTTCTTTAAATTCGGCCTGTAGAGCGGCACGTTTTTGGGCCCAGAATGCCTGGTACTCCGGCACAGGGACGCCAGCCATCTCTGGCTCGGCACTTATAGATTCAAAAACCCAGCCGAGTACTGACGTATTAGACTAGAAGATAGTAAGACACAACTCACTGCCCGCACTGAATCCACAAGCAATGTTGCCCAAGACACAACAAGAATTCACAGTCCAAATTTCTCATCCAATATCGAGTTCTGTCGAACAGACACATTCTTACTCATCGACCTTACTCCTTACTGAATGGTCAATCCGACGTTCCAAGCCTCCTGACTCTGATGATAATCCAACTGATCGATATCACCCCTGTCACCTGTCAAAATTTTCCTCAATCAAATTGCGTCCAACGTTCACATTTATACAGCGCTTGCTGCTAGCCCACATCCACATCATTACGCCCGCTAACCAATCAGCGCTCAGCAAATTTTCGCTCCGCCATCACGCTTTGTATAAAAGCCGGAGTGCAAGCTCGCAAGTCATCAGACTTTGGCATATAGTGTGCGTTTTGTAATTTGAGACAGGACTGAATGCCGACTGAAAATTGTCTGTTTGACATCATCAAAGCGACACTTCATCGCCAGTTTCGGGGTTGCAGCGATAATGATTAGTGTGCTGTAGGATCGAGCAGATCGACTGGAAGTCAAGTGGTTGTTAGCAGTGTATCATTGAGATCGGACAGGTCTGGTTTGAAAAAGGAGAGATTGGTTGACCCAGTGACGGAATTTTTCAATTCATTCTTTGTCAAGTCAGGAGTACAGCTACGTGTTAGGAGGTCGGATTGATCATTGGGCAACATTGCTTGTGGATTCAGTGCGGGCAGTGAGTTGTGTCTTACTATCTTCTAGTCTAATACGTCAGTACTCGGCTGGGTTTTTGAATCTATAAGTGCCGAGCCAGAGATGGCTGGCGTCCCTGTGCCGGAGTACCAGGCATTCTGGGCCCAAAAACGTGCCGCTCTACAGGCCGAATTTAAAGAAATTATTAAGCAATACCCCGATGCCGAAACACAATACAGGTGCTTATTCGACATCCTGTGCAGCATTGAGGACGTGGTCGGCTTCACAACTGCTGCGATTGGAGAAAGTGCAGAATGGGCGGCAATAGTCAGCGCCGCCGACGAAAATATGATTAATTACTGCAAGGCCCTCTCCGGCAAGACGCCGTTCAGTGCGCTCTATGGAAATTATACAGTTGCGCTGAACGAGCTGAAGTCCCTAGTAAAGGCAAGCGCATCAGGCACAATTAATCCAGCCCGGGAGGAAGGCTTCAAAGAAGTCCGGAGGAGGAAACGACAAAGGACCGCTGAATCCGCACCGACTCCTAAGAAAACAACGGCAGCCTTCAAAAGGAATCCCAAAACAGAGGTTGCCACCAAAAACTACTTCGCCCCCCTCAGGGATGCAACGATGGAAACAGAAACTTCTGGTGCAGAAGCCACTACGCTGGAGGAGGAAACCTCAGGTAAAGAAGGCAGCCCCCCCCTCAATAATTCTCACTTCCATAGTGAACCTCATTCAATTGCAGAAGCAACTGAAAATTGTGGTCAAATGCGACTTTGAGTTCCGCAGTACCAAAACGGGACCAGAGTCCTCACCAAAAGCATGGCGGATTTCGTAGCCGTCAAGTCCCATCTATCCAACAACAAACTTTCCTATTTTACCTTCTTTCCAAGTCCCTAAAACCCATAAAGGCCGTAATCCGTCACCTCCATCACAATACCCCTGCGGAGGATATATCTGATGGATTGGTGACGCTAGGATTTGATGTGGTCAGCGTGAAACAGATGACAACCACCCGCGGGTCGCCTTCAGACGAAAGGATAGCAAGAAACCATCCGCTCTTCCTTATCACCCTACCCCGGACGGCAAAATCGCAAGAAATTTTCCATCTTCAAAGCCTTTGCCATATTTCCATTCGGGTGGAGGCATACAGAGAACAGAGTGGCCTTACGCAATGTCACAACTGCAAACAGTATGTCCACGTCTGGGCCAATTGCAATCAACCTCCACGTTGCATGTGTTGCGGAGGTGGCCACCTGCACAAAAAGTGTCCTGAGATGGAGAACGCTGCCTCCACTCCAGCTTGCTGCAATTGCGAATTGAAGGAAGGAGAGGAAGCCCCATCCCGCCAACTATTGGGACTGCAGACACGCGAGGGAGGAACTGCAGAGGAGGAAATCGCAGAGAGCACCCAAAACTACGATGTGAAGGGTGTTCTCCTCAAATATCGTTACCCCTGGAGTCTCCTTCACTGTGGCGCGCCATGGCAGCACATCGCAGGAGCAGCGACCTCAGACTGTCCAAGTTCCAGTGGCAGTCCCACAAGAAGCCACGAAACCGAGTGTCTCGGTCCTTGTACAGGAACAAAAAACANAGCTCACTAAACAGCTGAAAGACCTACACGTAGATGTGGCTTTGAATTCAGAGACACATCTGAAACCTCATGAGAGGTTCTTTATTCCAAATTACCACTTCTATAGAATCGACCGCCACTCGGGCAGAAAAGGCGGAACTGCAGTAAGAAAGGCATTCCCCACAACCATGTAGAGCTACCACCCCTTGTTTCAGTAGAAGCGACAGGGGTCTGCATACCAGTTGGTAATAGCGAAGTGCTGCTTGCAGCTGTTTATAAATCTCCAGGCAGAACCTGGAGTGATGCTGACATCACTGAGCTCTTAGCTTCAGACGAAAGTCTATTTTGGCAGGTGATTTGAATGCTAAGATCCCCTTTTCGAATAGCAGAGTTTCAAACCCCTCAGGCTTGAATCTCATGGATTCATTTGATATTGGCGATTTCGAAATCTCAGCACCACAGTGCCCCACTCATTATTCCCCTGCGGGAAATGGTGACGTGCTAGACATTGTGGTTCACCGAAATATCAGAGTGTCAGATGTCATGGTCTTTGATATTTTGGACTCAGATCACCTACCAATAGTATTCCACATACTGGATGAAGTTAAAATTAGGAATCTTTCGGAACCCATTGAAAAATTTACAGATTCGGAACGGTTTCAAAGCCTCGCTTCTGAATTAATATCACTAAAACCTTCATGGTTATACATATCTAAAAGTTAAAAGAAAGAATGCCTTTGTTATGTAACCTGCAGTGATGCAAATTCCTCCCACATGATTCTAGCAGTTGTGTTGTGACCCATCGGCGTTTTTCTCATAATCGCATGCTGACAATGTAAACATTTATTATATGCGTGGGAAATCTTGCCCAGAAGAATTGTATTGAATTCAAGCAGTAATTTTTCTCAGGCCTCGCCACAGTTATGTTGATATTAGGCAGGGAATGTTAAGTTTTGCTGGAAGCCAGGATGGCTGAGTTACTAGACTTCTGTCACAGTAGTCAGGAAGTTGGGTTTTTCTTTTCTCTATAGCATTCAGACTGAATCTAGGGCCCACACAACAACCCATTAAGTAGGTACCAGATGGTGAAATGTCTGGGACATGGAACTGATTGGCTCCATCCATTTAGCATCAAGATTAAGAGTGGCTGGAACTGTACCTCCACTACTCATACACCTTCTTGATGTGATGTCTAATTAAGCAGAAGGACAACTACATCATTATCATCACTACCACATTACATGAAGTTTAATTGTTATCTCAGTCCTGTCAGTTGGTAGCCATATTGTTCATTTTGTAATAGGTTACTCTGTAGTAAGTGTTATGGTTCGTATACCCACTTCCAATTCCAAATGGTTATTTAC